AAAAAAGCTTCTATAATAAAAATATGGAAGTAATTAAGAGCATTACTTGCTATTATTTTTCTTCAATGTTCACTTGTACATTGATAAGAGCTAAGTAACAAGTTTAAAAAAAATATTTGTAATGATGTAAATTATCAATTGATTCAAAATTATTGTATTAGAGTTAAATGATGAATAATGCATCATATATTTAGATATCCTTGTTTTAATAGATAAAAATCATGAAAAACTATTTTTTTTTTGAAAGATTAGGAAGAAGTAAGAAAATATTTGTATATAATATAATTGTAATAAAATTTTGAAGTCATGAAAAAATTATTTTGTATGTTGTTTCTTTTAAAATTGCAGCATAATTTTTAAGTAGTCGATGGAATACTTACTTTATGTTTAAAATTCCACTCAATTTTAATGAAGATTTATTTTATAATATTCTGAAAAATAAATCATATGCACATGTGCTAGAAAAAGTAGTTTGCTTTATTTGAGATGACATACCAATGCAATATTACTATTATATTAAGATAGTTGATAAAACTCTTAAAGATATAAATGGCACTAATAAGTTATTTGGCAAAATTATTATAGTCTTTAGTAGAGATTTTTGGCAAATTCTTCTTGTTGTTATTGAAGGCTTAAGAAAAGAGATTGTTGATGCTTCTTTGCAACAATCAAAAATTTGGTCTAACATTAAATGCTCAAGTTGACTAAAAATATGTATTTAAAAGATATATTTTATGAAAATTCATTATTTGCTTAAGAATTTTTAAAAGTATGTCTTATACAAGATTTTTCTATTTAATTTTTTTTTTTTAATATAGTATTTTTGTATAATATATCTGAAAATGGTTTCTATATGCAAATTGAAAATGGATTAATAATTATAGATCCATTGAAAAGTATGGTGTTGTATTGTAACACAACTATATGGTGAAAGATGATAATATGGATCTTATTATAGTAGAGCCAAGTTAAAAGATAAAGTAGAAAAATATAGATAAAAGATAGGAAGGTAGTAAAACTTTTAGTAGTAATGCTGTTTTTTAGAAAAGTGACTTCTACTTACTTTGTACGGCCATAAAGAAGGCAAAACAAAATAGATCGGAAAAATAAATAATATAAGCATCTTTAGGAAGAAGTTAAGAGTAAATTCCAGCAAAAATTACTTTGAAAAATTAGATATTGATGCCTGGAGAGGGCCAGTTATGAATTAGGGTTGAAATCAAATCCCAAGGCACAAAACCAAGCTTTGACAAGGATTTTGGGGTTCTTTTGCAGATTAGAGAATGCAGCTTGATAGCAGACTAGATAGAGTTTTTATAAGCATTGTTTTTGTGTGATTTAGATTCGTAATGACTTTATAGGAGCTTTATAAAATTAAGTTTATTTTTGGATGACTTTGGTTTTGTGAAATAAAATAAGATTGATATTTTGGGCGATTTCAAGAGTTTTATAATAGATCTATAGGTGAAATTTTGTAAGTTAATGGATATAGTTGTGCTTAATATATATTATGAATTTTAGCTTGATCTAATGGTTGAATTAAGGGTTATTGAGGTTTAAGTAGATCAAGGTTTCAAAAAGTAGAATTTTAGGTCTAGTGAGGGTTTTTGAGATTTCTTGCAATCTACTTGTTGAATTGGAGTGAAATTTATGGATAAAGATAGTAGACATGTTTTTCTATGTATATAAGAATTTCGAGTTAAGATCAATCGTTCATTCATTAGTTATTGAGATTTAAATCTATTATAGGAATTACTAGGATTTGATTTAGGATTTAAGGTTTGGTTAGGATTTGATTTAGGGTTAAAATTTAGTTAGGATTTGATTTAGGATTTAAGATTTAGTTATGATTTGATTTAGAGTTTAGGATTTGGTTAGAATTTGATTTAGTATTTAATATTTGGTTTAGGATTTAGGATTTGATTAGGATTTGGTTTAGGGTTTAAGATTTGGTTAGGATTTTATTAGGAATTGATTTAGGGATTAAGATTTTTTTTAAGGTTTGTTTAGGATTTATTTAGGATTTAAGATTTAGTTAGTTTTTGGCCTAAATTTTGATTAAAGTCCAATAGGATTTTAACTAGGATTAAATTAAGATTGGATTGAGATTTACTTGAGATATATTTGTGAACATTCTAATATTTCTTTGAGATTTCTTATTATTTCTTTGTATTTCCTTTAAGATTTCTTTGAATTGATTAAAGCTTGCTTAACATTATTATGGTCTAATTAGAGTTTAATTAGTATTCTATTAGAGTTAGGATTTTATTGTTGCAATTTCCATTCTACCTTCCACAGCCAGGTACCCGAAGCATTCTCAAGTAAGACTTCACATATTACAACAACAGTGTTGTATAGTAATATAATTATATGGTAAAAAATAAAAACATGGATGTTGTTATAGAAGAGCCTAGTAGGAAGATATCATAAAAAATAAGAATAAATAATAAGAAGGTAATAAAAAATTTAGTCTTAATACTACCTTGTAGAGAAAGAGCTATTATTTGCTTTATATGAGCATAAATGCCTCAAATCAAAGTAAATGAGATAAGCAATTGATATAAATTTGTTTAGGAGAGAGCTATCAATAGGTTCAAGTAAAAATTATCTCAAATTACTAAATATTGATAGCTAAAGAGGACATCTTATCAACTTAGATCAAAACCAAACTTTAAGGCACAAAATTGCATATCTACTATAACTTCAGGATTCTTTGGTAGATCAAAGAATAAGATTTTAGAAAAAACTTGCAAAGAGATTTTTGACTATTGGTTTTATGTCAATCTAATTAATATTCAAATTTTGGAAAATTTTCAAAGTTAGTGATGTTTTTGGTTTGATAGGATTTTAAAAAATAAAATTATGTTTACAAAATTGAAGGTTTCTTAAGTTTTTTGGTGTATATATAAGTAATTTTTAGGTAGTATCTTGATATTCTAGTTTTTAGTATTTATGCATATTTTGAGATCAATTAAATGGTTAGATTGAAGTATGTAAAGGTTTTTGTAGGTCGAGGTCTCAAAAATTAGAATTTATAGGCTAGTGAATATTTTTAAGATCTTTAATAATTTGGTGATTGGATCGAAGTGAATTTTTTTATATATAGAGACTAGACTTAATTTTTTATAATTAAATTATATTTTAGAGGAAATTTAATGGTTCAAAAAGGAGATATTGGAACTAAAAGTTCAATATTCAGATTGGAGTAGGAGGCTAGCCAATAGCCAAGTGGAATTTAGATTTGATCTTCTATTTGATAAGTTTGATCTTTTTCAAATTTCATAAGCTTGTTGCCAATTTAGTTGTTGAAAGGTGTATAAAATCTTAAGTAAGATCGATGGTATAATCAATAGATATTGAGGTTTTAAACTACCCCAAAGTTAGGTTAATTTGATTAGAATTTAGTTTAGAATTCAAGAATTGGTTAAGATTTAGGATTTGTTTATGATTTATTTAGGATTTAAGTAAGGACTACTAGGATTTTAATTAAGATTAAAGTAAGTTTTTTTTGGAATTTATTTAAGATATATTTATTTCAATACTTCTTTTATTTCAATACTTCTTTTATTTCAATACTTCTTTTATTTCAATACTACTTTTGAATTTCTTTAGGATTTTTTCATGCTTCTTTTGTAATTTCTTTGAGGTTTCTTTGGATTTGATTAAAGCTTGATTAGCATTTTTAAGGTTTATTTGGAATTATTTAAAATTCTATTAGAATTAGGATCTTATTGTTGTAATTTTCCTTCTACCTTCCACAACCATATGCCCGACACATTCCCAAACAAGACAACATGTATTATGGCAATGGTAATTCTTTCAAAATATATGAAATTATTTTCAATATCAAATGATTTAGTTGAAGTTGTCTATTTACGATTGGATGACAAGGAGATACTTCGAAATGAATATTTTATCTACAAGTCTATTTGTTTTGCACAAAATTATGATATTGATGATCTAAATAAGCATATAATTGACTAATTTTTTAAAATTTTATATATTTATTTTAGTATATATATAGCAATTATAGAAGATAGTACCAATAATAGTTATTTTTATCTAACCAAGTATTTCAATTGCTTAAGTCCATTTAGATTGCTACTATTTTTCTTAGAGCTAAAGATTATAAGTTCTATTATATTATAAAATATTACTCCACATCAAGGACTTTATAATAGATCACCTCTAATCATTACGTAGCTTATTGTTCAAGTTATAGAGACAAGATTTTTATTTAGAAACCAGAAGGAATAGTTGGCTTTTCTTCTAAAGATCATATTATGTCCATCATTTGCAGAGATTTTGTTTAACTTGAAATGAAGGTAGTTTTGAATAAAGGTGGGATTTGCAATGATTATTAATAAATCTCAAAGACAATTGTTGAAGAACATTAAAATAGATCTTAGAATCCCAATATTTACACATAGATAGTTATATATTATCTTATCACAATGTACTTCTCCAAACATAATCAAGCTACTATATCCTAAAAATAATGAAGACAAAAATATCACCATAAATATAAATTTAATTTTCTACTTACAAGAGGTTTTATTGTTCATGGGAATGTTCATTTCAATACTAAGCTTGTACAGTGTAAAACTATTTGGCGTCCTGTGCATATTTTTTTAGTACCCATTCTTAGTCAGTGGTATGTCTTTTTCAGTCTATTCGAAAGCGGTTAAGGGAGCTCAATATGGCACTAAATCGGAAACGTAAGGTGAGCCTTTTTAGTGCCACCAGCGTATCAATGATTTTATCGCTATATATCCCTTTCTGTGCTTCTAAACTTGGTTACTTGTAACGACTTAGTATGCAAGGGTATCACGAGTCGTATATTGTGCGCATGAGTAAGGTTGTAGGCGTGTGTTTTGCACATGCTGTTGCCTGTCAACACCACTTGACGTCGAGATGGGGTGTGTTATGGCAGTGTATTTTATCGAGTTGACTAGCATCCTTCCCTCAACTGTTCAAACAAGACAAAGATCATAACGTTTTGTACACCAATTTATATTTGATGCCTGCAGGCTGGTCAAGTATATGGTGTTCCACTTTCTGGCAATTTGTTAGCAAAATCTGGGGTTTTTCCAGATCATCGCACCTGTGGAGATGACTTCAGAAAGAAATGGATTGAGGTAAGTCTATTTTTGTTGGGATGCTGTCTCTTTGTTCGTTGCCTTGTTTTAACTCGTACTCTTGAAGAAATACATAGCTTGCAGTGAAGCTGTATCAATGAGCGGGTGTAGCTTTATTTTGGAAGTTGATTTCTACATTTTAGACGAGTGGTTGTTTTGATGTAGATTTAGAAGAATGATTATATTGTACGAACTTCTTAGAAAGTCAAATCTTTAGGGAATGGAATGTAGTTGGGCAATGTTGTTGGAGTCTGTTTAACGAATTGGATCATTTACCTGTTCTGTAAAATCGACTACAGGACCTGTCACAGAGGAAGAGACTTCGAGCTCTGGCCGAACATGTCCCGCATGGTTATCAAAGACGCACCATCTTTGAGGCACTTATTAAGCATGACGTTCCTCTACTTCGAGCTACTTGGTTCATCAAAATCATTTTCCTTAACCAGGTCAGTCCCTTTTTCCCTTGTGTAAGTTCCATCTGAGCTACGTCATTACCTCTTTGACCATCTATCAACCTGATTTCTTCTTGGATGACAACTTCATTAGCTCTATTTTCTAATTGAAGATGCCCATTTTCAGGTATTTTCAGGTCAAACCCATGTCCATTGGAATGTCGGCAGGAGGTCCTGACAAATCACAGTCAAAGCGAGTGGGACTGTGGACCAAGAATGTGTTGGAGTATACTCAGTCGTTGCTGGACGATCTATGCCAGACCGGAGGTGCTTCTGGATCACACTCTCAGATCCTGTCTGTAAGAGGCGACTCCGTTGAGAACGAGCCTGATTTGCTTGCGAAATGGCGGTATATTGTGAGCTTGGAACAGTGGCATTACATTGAAGGGCTTCTTAATCGGACTCAAGTTGTTGACTGGGCTTTGAAGCAACTTCAGGTAGAGCTGAGCGCCCTAAGTATTAGTTTTCGTAAAATGTCCGTTTCGTTGTGAAATGGAATTGGTTCATTATGTTCTTGTACCTTGTAACATGAGATGAATGTTTGAGATGATACAAATAATAGTTTTAAAGTAGTTGAAATGTAATTTGTGTCGGATGGTTAACTCATGGATACCATCGCTTAAATTTTTACAGGAAAAGGAGAGTGTGGAGGCTCTAGAGCTTCTTCTACCGATATTGCTTGAACTCATCGACGGCATATCTATGTCTCAAACACACTCACGGATGCTTGTTGAATTATGTCTTCAATGGCTCCGTAAGCTCTATCCATTAGGGCACGTGCCTAGCATTGGTGATAATTCACGAAACAATCAGGTAGCCGACACATTAGTGAAGCTGCTACAATATCTCGTTCTTGTCATTCCTGACACCTTCGTTGCATTGGATTGTTTTCCTTTGCCCCAGTGTGTGAGCTTGGGTGGCAGTGAAAGCTCAGCCATTGAAAGTTCATCCAACGATCTTGGCAGGGTGAACTCTGTTGTCGAAGATCGGTCTATCATGTATGCAAAGGGAAAGAGAAAGACATATTCTGAGGTTGGGGTTGTCGAATCAGTGGATCTTATTGAGAAACGTAATGCGTCTTTAGCAAGTGCGGTGAGTCCTACTCTGTTGCGGAACAATGAAGGGAAAATTGTTCAAGCTCTGGACAAAGCTCATGGAAATATCACAAGTGACAACAAATCATTCTCTAGCAACAAGGTACACATGTGTCCAATGCCTCTTCAATAAGTTTAGTACTATTTAAACTTAGCTTTAAAATTTGTATTTTATAAAAACTAAAATAGTATACAAGATATTATAAAAGATAAAGGTATTAATAATAATAATAATAATAATAATAAGGTTAGCAATGTAGTAGTATTAATGCAAGATCTTATATGCAATCAAAAGCTTTTTTTAACCTAAATATATTGGTTGGAAGTTTAAAAAATAATTATTTATAATCAAATAAATTGATTCAATATTGATACTAATGTGATATATGTTGTGCATATATAATATTTTTTTATATATTTATTATTAAAATTTTAAAGATACAAAGATAAGAAGTGCAAAAATTGCTAAAGTTTATAAATAATAAAAATAAGAATGTGTTTATACTATGTTTGGAATGTGGTGGAATCTAATTATGATAACAATTGATTCTATTAATTTTATTATTGTCATCAATCATATCTAATGTGGATAAATCAACTCCACTTGTTTCTATAAAAATATAACTTCTACTATTAATTGAGTTATTTTATAGATTTTTTTTTTATTCCTACAAATATTTTGGAATGTTTTATATTTTGTAAAAAATGAAACTATGAAATATAAACAAGCAATTAAGCAAGTAAACATATAAATAAAGTTTAAAAAATAAATCTTCTCACATTGATAAACATAATTTTATATATCCAATTCCCTATTGCACTTTAAATAAGAATAAAATTCTATCAAACTTAACATCACCAATGCAAAAATAGATTAATTTAACTAATATTTCAAAAATGGCACCTAAGTCAAGTATTGAGGAAAAAACAGGTACAATTTATTTTTGATACAATGAGGTCAAAACCTGTGGTGTCCAGATATTCTAATATGATACAACAATAACTAAAAATTATTGTGAAAGCTTAAACTCAACTCTGAGTGAAAATGCCTGAAGAGCCAATCCAAACTTCTCCACTTACCAGTGAGAGGAGTGAGGACTTCGCTCAATGAGCGTAAAATTGGCCCCAGAATTCTAATTATCTGCACAAATGGACGAAACAGTGTCTCTACCCTCCAACTTTCCACACCCCAGCTCAGCTCCAGATTCTTAAACTAATACAAAAAAAAAAAAAAAAAAAAAAAAAAAAAATTGGGATGCTGAGTGAGCCGTTGTTGTCTCCTTAGATACTGATGCTGAAACAAGGATCGATGTCATCGTAATCCTCGCAGTCATGGAAGATCGATCATGCTCAGCTAGCAATTACTTGGGTACCTATGCTAATTTGTAACGAGTTTTTCTACTCAATTGCTCATTCTAGTCAATTGCTCAGTTTTATGCCGAGATTGCAGAGTTCGGAAGCAGAATGTTTGTTACAGGGAAACAAAATCGTTTCTATTGGATTGATTTCATTGAGAAGGCTTTCCCAACTGCAGTCACAGCAACACAAAACCAGTAACAAAATCGAAGTGAGACTCAGCAATGGTAAAACAGGAGTTTTTTTAACAGTGTACAAAGCTAGTGATATACTCCCATAAGGAAAATCTTAATCTTAGCTCTTGGAAATGAGGACTGTGTAGAGGAGGGGAGCGGAGACGAACATCTGGAGTTCTGCCGAACGATGACGACGCACAACGGAGCTCTGTTCGCAGGGAGCCGCATTTTGTACAGCTTGGTACTGAGAGGGTTCTTCATGCACAAGATGATGTCGTCGATTCCTGTCATGCGCTGTAGTTCATGCGCCAATTCATCTATAGTGCTTCCCTCGAACAGCAAAGTGCCGGAAGTCTCGTCGTCGTGAGCTAGTACTTCACCGTTGTCCTCAGCAACGGAGTAGTAAATTCTCCGGAGTTCTGATTGCTTTGGTTTCGGAACGTCTTTGCTAGGTTCAGGAGTTTTAGTTGGACGCCTGCGTGAGGGAGGGCTTGCTGGAGGTGACGACCACTCTGAACATGAACTGTGATGGGAGGTCGGGGGATATTTCACCCCCGGTTCTGGATTTCTAGGTAACTGAGGCCTTCGAACGGGTTCAGGGGGCGAATACTGGTCATGGTCGGAAATTTCCACTTTACTGATACGCGGCGGTGATAACTTGAGTTTCGCGGCATTATACTGTAAAAAAGAGTAGACAATGTGAGAAAACGAGCAGACTGGGGTCAGAAGCACTTAATATATAAAGGTTATCATTCTTGAGCACAGCTTCATGATGTAATGCAAGAGGATAAATCAATGGCGGAAGCGAGTTCGCACTAGTGTTGGAGATGCCAATGGACTGTTCTTGAGCTGCAACCTCAGCGGATCCTTTAGTTTCACAACTACGACGGTCCAGAGCACCTCATGTTGCTTGCTCTTTCGCATTGGCACATCATACGTCACGGTATTTCTATACGGCGGCACTCCCCCATTGGCTCGTAGAAATTTGTCTCCCTTGGCAGTAAACTTCACACAACTATCGCTGCGAACAGGCTCCCACTCCAGCGATGAATCGGCCTTCGATGCAAAACTCTGCCTTATCTTTCTTCCCGTGAAGCCCAGTGCGGATGCGTAATCAGAAGGTTTCAAGTAAAGGTCGTACACACTTTTCAATCGGATGGTATTCCGCTCGGGAACAACCTCAACTCGCCAGTCCACCCCATACGTGTTCTCACCCCTTCTCAGAGCGACACTGTTGCGATCCTCCGCGGCCCACAAATACTTTCCATTCTGGGTTAAGAGTCGCACTGAGTGAACATCTTTGAAAAACTCCATGTTCTCTCAATGCTGCCTCAAAGTCAAAAATCAAACACGAACACCCAATCAGTGCCTGTGATTATCTCTAGCATGGATCAGGAAACGCTATAGAAGCAGTCGTGGCAAAAAAAGCTTGTTGAAAAACACGGATTCATTGGACTTCACAAATTTGTTCATTACGAAGACGAAGAGGAACAGCGACATGCCTTTTCAGACTATTTACTAAACACAAAATCCCATCGAAAAAATATACTAATTACATGACAAGAATTATATATCATTCACACTTTATCAGGACACGAGCTCAAAACATTCCTAACAACCCACCCAATCTACACGCACTGGCCAGCACCACGGCGCATCCAGTGCCCTCAGCGACCTATCCTCATAAGAATCAACTATCCTGAAACCTGTTCACTTAATCGTGAGTCTTCAAAACTTTCAGGTCTTCGAGGATCATTTTAATAAATTCAATCATGAGAGGACCTTTGAAGCAAGCCAATGAATCTGCTAGCAACTGACTCCACAAACCAAGTCGAATTTTTAACAACGCCTCAGCAGCTCAGAAAAATTAAACCTTGTTTGCACTATTTTGCAATATCCTTCGAGTAGAAGAAATCCATTTTAAACTACTCTGCACCAAAGCTAACATGACTCTCTCGATAGACAAGGTCACATCCGGACCAAGCCCTACTACTCAACCGACTTTCAAACGTCGACAGACCATATTCGGAAACTATAATTTTCTGGTGAGCACCTTCACAGTGAACCGCAACGTCGGTGGCCCTGGATCTCAGGACCTATCAAAAACCACGTGCATATCCAAATTTGGCAAGATATATTCTCGGGTCCTGGTCCTGTCGCTTCGAAATCGGCAGTGAAATAGGTTCACGAGAGTCAAATTGATAGCGATTGCCACAAATCCAGACGATGGATCCACGCTTCGCAGAGAAGACCAGTGCCTGCAGACACTAATTTCTGCAGATCAATGAAGCGAGGAGGTGAGAAGGGGAAGTACTGGAGGCGGTGCTTTTCCACCCTGGCAAGCTTTGACTCGAAATGGTTACCGCCAACACAGTCGGCCAAGGTTCCCCGACTCTTCCGAATCAAACAGACGTGGATTAAAAAAAACAATGTATGGTTACTGTCGGGCGCATGAATGGAGGGACCCCTGAGGAAGACCAGCGGTAAAATGATTCTCCCTGACCATTTCTTTAGTCTCACAGTCTCACTTTTCTCCACTAGATCAAACCATTACTCAGACTTCAGTGCCTGTGGAATGTGGGGTTCTAAGACTTGTTACCACTGTAACCTTTAGCATTGCAAGCCTTCTGAGACAAGTGAAGTCTCAACCACGTCCGCCCCCACGCTCTGTCTGCACTAGTGGGTACTTTGTCCTTTACTAGAAACATAGCTTCGAGAGTTTCTATTCCACCGAAAACAAAAACAAAACAAAACAAAAAGCTAGACGCGTCGAAATAGCAGCAACAACAAAGTTTAAGGAGGCAGTGAGTTCCACCTTTTTCCAGCAGCGGTAGCCAAGTCCACTGCAACTGTTTTTCTGTTGCTCGCTGCTATTGAAGACTATTCCGGTGCTGAACTTGCTGTTGCAGCTGCTGCAATTGCTCCGATTGCTTGGCTGTTCGTGGCAGTCTCGGTTGTGAATATACAACTAATGCAAACTAAGAGTATACTTTTTTAGATAAATTTTTAATGTGGGTGAAAACTCCCCTCGTGTCTTGTTTCATTGGAAGGGTTGGCCACATACTTCAATCTTTAGATCTTTAGAGACAAATTATTTTTACTTTGTAATGTTGTTATTGTTAGTTTGTTTTTCTTTTTCCCCATTTACATTTGCCACTCATGCATACAATTTGTGTTTCTTTCTAATTTTTTTCTTCTTCTTCTTCTTCTCACTAGTAAATGTTTGAATTATTATTATAATACAAGTATAACGATTATTAAGGTTGGAGTTTCTCTAAAAGAAAGTTCCAATGGAGATCCAATGGAATATTTAAAGAAGAAAACCTCTAATTAGTCCTTCTTTTAATAACATAACAATAAATAGATAAAAATATAAAATTAAATGAAGAGCAAGAATAATAATAAGTAATAATAAAACTAACTAAAAAACCAACCAACAAAAATAATATTTTTAATAGAGTAAATTAGAAAATATTTTATTTTAAAAATTTCTTTGACACTATTTGAACATGGTTCAAATTAAAATACTTAATAAACCAATATGAAGGGGGTTAAATCAAATTTTTTATCATTTTAGCAAAAAAAAAATGAATTTTCAAAGTAGATCATCAATTCGGTAGATCAATTTGCTATAAATCTAACAAAATAGTTCTAACATAAATTATATCTTATTATATTCGATTAATTCTTGCTATTTATTTAACTAAGCTTTTATCTAAACTTAATAAAGAAATACATTAAGTCTTTACAAAACAAAATCTATATGATTATTAATTGGAATTATTTAATATAACATATTAATTTAAATATAGTAATTAGATGCATATTAAAAATTAGATATGTTATCTAGAAATTATTCGTATTTCTAATATATATATATATATAATATATATAATATATATATAATATATAAATTAAATTAATTTAAATTTTATCCTAAAAATATAAATTTGAAGAAATTATCGAAATAGCTAAGAAGTTTTTGAGTTGTCTAAGCTAAAACTATTTTTTCTATAAACTAATCAATAGACTAATATAAAAATATATATATGTATAATAATAAAATGATACATGTATTTTTGTGAAGCCAAAAATCTTATAATTATGAAAATTTAGCATGAAAAGTAAAATTTAACTAATATTATAAAATAATACTTTATTATATTTTTTAATTTTTTAGTAATAAAATAATAATGTATATTTACAGTATAATGTAGTTTTAAACAAATTTGCATAAATTTTATGATAATGCCTTCTAAATTAAATACTAATTAGTAACTACGTTTGTAATTTGAATAATCAATGTATACAATACATTTACAAATGACATTCCTTAATTCATATGGCACCAAAAAAATACTATGAAAATAAAACTTTTTTTTTTACTATTATCTTTAAATTTTAAATTTTTAAATGTTTTTAAATAAATAAAATTTTGTACAGAAGAAAACATATTAATGGATTCAATAATTATTTTAATTTCCAAAGAATTAAACCAAAATAATTTAAATTGTGCTAGAATATTTTTAAAATCTGTTTTTTAAGATGTGTTGCATTGTGCTGTTTTTAAAATTTTACTAATTTTATTATTTTAAGATTTTTATTTTGTGTTCTTGTTTTAACTCTAGTTCATGTGCTTTTTGTATGTTTGATTGCATACAATTATAACAATTCAGATGTTTAATATCTTTGTAGTAATACAGATACATGATTCTCCTTTGTTTTAAGGAATAGTGTTCTTGTGAACGAATTAATGCCACATGAATAAACACCCCAAATGCCTTATCATGTTGCATGAAGAACTGTACTATTAGATGAAAGCTAGCAATAAGTTCTTAACAATCTTCAAACATCTACCTGAGGTATATCATGATAAATATTGACTTCCCAAAGACCCTTAAATTGCAACATTAGAAATACGATTTTCTATTTAGATAAAAAGAAATGGTATGACTAATATTCTATTATTTTCCCTTTTACGTTTCAACTCAGTCAAATGTATAGATCCTTAACAATAATCCAACTACGCAATTACAGAGCATACTTGGTCCAAGTGGAAAAGTATCAAACAGCAACAGTGTCCACAAGAATAATGCGTGGGGCTGAATTCTACCATACGCCACCACCACATATCATACAAGGATCAACAGTGTCAAGGATGGAGTCAATCTTCATTTCAGATAATAGCACTTTCTCCGACAAACAGTATTACCAAAACAAGTCCCCTTGGGGCAGGTTCCGAGTAACGATCAGTGGAACTTGGATACAGATTCGTTGCTAAGGATACTCATTGACAATGACGGGGCCCAGGTGATTGAAACCTCTCACGGATAACAATAAAAAAAAAACTTAACGTGTGGAAAGTTCCTGGTGGAGAAACTTCCGTGCCCAGACTTGTGTTTGGGGTATGGACTTACGACCATTACATCATGCCAACATCATGAATGGAGTACACTATGCATGACGTGTGAAGAGTTACGTTCCATGAATTACAAATGAGATGTTGCAATCTACTCCTCTGGTTGCGAAACGACATGGAACACAACAAAGAGCCTGAAATACGGCTCTTCTCTCACTAGTTTCGCAAAATCAAAACTTTAGGAATTTTAAGATACATAAAAGGAGAAGGAAATCCTAAGAGTTCGAATGGCAAGCTGGAAGGACAATCTGTTGAAATTGTTTTAGGGTTTGCTACACGCGCGTCAATTTAGTGGAATGAGTGCCAGCATCTACAAGACCCACATACGTCTGCACTAACTTCGCTCCACTGGGGTGTACTATCAAGTGCTTCACAAGCTGGAATCGCAACGCATTTGGAGCAATCACAAAAGTTGCAAGTGCAAACCAGATAAGATCCACGGATGAAAGCTTTGAGCCAAGAAAACCTTTCCACAACCTGCGATGAAGAGGAGCAACCTTCAGTTTTATGACTCAGGACTTGGCTGTTCTAGCACTCATGGCACGATCATGTTTGAGTCAAAAAACACAGACAAGCCGTTAGGTACCAGGACTAAAATTCACGACCACTGTTAAATTCAAAAGATGAACGTACCATTCAGGAAGCCGAAAAAAGGTCACGAAAAAATCTTTGATTCCAACAGTATCAAGTTGCAAAATAAGCTCTAATCCAAACAGAAAAAAGGCTCGCTGTCTCTTTCTTTCGCCAGACCACAAGACATTCCATGCTGCGATCACGAACACAACCACTACTCAGAAATAGCACAGTACACGACAAATTCCCCTCAATATTCGGGTCAATAGATGACTTCATTAACTTTCATATGTTATCAAATCACATCGAAATTCTTAAACCGATGTCTGAATGAAATAGTGGATTCAATCATGTTTTGAACCCTATGGTGAACAAAGTTTTAACTCTGATAATTGTTGAAATTAAGCGAACACTTGGCTACTCGGTTGATTATTTTGAGTGACGGCACATATGAGCGTTCTTCCTGCACACGGTGAACCTAGCAAGGGTGAACGCTAATATGTGCCGGTATAAATACACTCGGCAATTCAGCAACCACCTGAATGCATTCATACAAGCTGAATGGGCTTAATTTCTGAGTGCATCACAATAAGAATCACTCAGCGATTCGGTTACCACCTAAGGAGTGGCTTGGTAGAACAGGTTAATCATACAGTTACACATGTTACAAATGAATAATTAATGTCAAGCACAACATACCTTCTATAGCAGCTTCCTGAGAATTAGATGTGCCAAGCTTGCCGCCTGTGGATTTAAGTGCCCTAGCAATGGCTGCCGCATAAAATGGAGCTTCAGATAGGGAGCGGACTAGTGAATAGCCTGCATAAATCAGCGAAGACGTACTTTAGTGACTTCACTAGAAATTTCAACATCTCATTATTCACCGAACACGCCACCGATCTACTTCTACATTACATTACACTAAACCGCTCTGGCTAGAAGATTCTGCGGACGAAGTACAGAGACGTACCACTTACCAGTGGCCGGGTGAACCATACTGGCAGCTGCTCCAAAACCCAGCTGTCTTTGAGTTGTCACTGGTAGGCTGCCTCCCACTGGGATATATGACCACTCCTGCACAGCAGAGATATAATTACTGCCTTATCCAAAAACATTCCAGCTTGCATCAAGTCTTTTCACATAACCCTAATCCAGGCGCTCTTCAAAATCAACGATTAGAGGCTTACGGTCACAACCTACGTCGAAATGCCAGTTGAGAATCTAACCTCTTCGTGAACATGTGAAACCTTAATGCCCATCTTCTCCAAACGCTCTTGTAGCCTTTCCCTAAGGAGACTAAAGGGCATGGCTGGTCTTGCAGCAAGACATGTTTCCTGGCGGATGCATTCCGAAAGACATCATTTAGATACATGCACAAGAACTGAAAATACACAGATGTCATTTCTTTCTATCGTTGTATCTTGCTTCCTAACTTCCTTTTCAAGTTCTTTTTGCTTCAAGGTTTTGAGGTCCATGTTAGATAAAAATATCTGAAATTACAAGTGGCAACAGATTTTGTAATACTTCACGACCTATGGATCCCCGATTCTGAAATATCTTGTAACCTGAGTCCAGCGCATGTCACAAAACCTAGGAAGAAATTGAGCAGATTTCGCAATTAAAACTCGGATTGTCACAGAGTTTATTATTCCCGAATGAGCCTAGCATACCTCGAAGAAAACACGAGTTGATGAAATAGGCATTGCGTACAAAAAGGTGGGTATCTCTTCAGGGCTGATATCTCCTTTGTCTCGACTTCTATAGTCTCGATAGTCCATGAAGAGCATAAAATCAGGATTGTAAGGATAATGTTCAACCTGCATGAGGTAAGACCAAAAGAATTACAGTTATGTCTCTCAGCTGAGGAGCGGGCAAAGGAGAATTGCTTAAGTAAACTTCTCAATAAATCATGGTAACGTGATTACAATCAAATCATACAAGTTTTGAACATTCAATTCTCTTGACAGTCGGTTTCTTTCCATACACATGTCAAGAAATAATTATACTCAATAATTGAATTCCCTTACCTCCACTTCAATTCCGTAAGCAGTTTGCACACCGACTCCTGGACCTCCTGTTTCATATTTCAAGAACCTGCCAGCAGCTGCTCCAGACGCGACTGTAACAAGTCTGATCGAAACACACTACGTCAGGTTGCAATTGAGTCCAACACAAACATCACCCTGGTATTCGCCAACGACCTATCTATGAAACCATGTGAAACAATTTTTTTCTGCCACTCATTCTCTCATATCTCTATCACGTAAAAAGAGCAATAGATTCCTAAAAGATGATCAATTCCAAATGCGAATCCCGTGAACAACCGATGTTCAAAGTTTTGTACGGTTGTAAGTATAGAAGGATTCAAGAGCTGCTGTTGAAATGAAAGAAATTAAACTCGCCAACAGATATCAGCTCGGACTGACTGAACGAATAACCAAGAGAAGGAATTACCTGCTGTTGACAGTTCTCCCACTGGTGCACACGACTGTATTCAAATCTTCGTTGACTTCAAGTATCCGGTCAACTTTAGAATCTAAGTATCTTACTCCTGCCTCAGCGCACCTGCAGTACTCCAAATCAATTAAGAATCTGGCAGCCCTCTTCAAACTTTTCTATGTAGCAAATGAATAAGGTAGAGACCATAGAAAAACGCGAAATACGCACCTTCTCGAGAGCTCTTCTCTCAGAAGAGTCCGACTTACGCGACCATATGCACGCCCTATCATAATTGGCGAGTGCTCTTCAATATACATGGCTGAGTCTCTCCAAGTTTGCTCTATGCAGTCCTCGAGATCCAACGCTGCATGATGAAGTCATAAACCTCAGAAATACGAACATCTTGGGAGCAGAGAAAATCAATTTCTAGAGTCCAAATCGACATGCCCGGGCTAATTTAGAGCGTCCTGACAGCCTATTCAGTGTACTTCATTCCTCTTCTAAGTTCTAATAAATGTGTGTTGCTTAGAAGTCTCAAGAATATTACACTCTCTGTATTCAGTAAATTTCAGTGCTCCTGTGCACTCAACGCGCTATTAAATTGCAGAATTTTTCATTCTAAAGCTGGCTTAAGAAAACCATTTCTGTAACGTGACCTCGACGGAGTCGTCGATAGACGCCGACATAAAGCTTCTAATTCGTTGAAAAGATATCATACCCGCAAATTCATCAGTCCAGACACCATAGTTGTTGACGAAGGGCAGGTCAGGACCAACAAGACCTACATTCAGGCCTTGTTTGGCAGCCTCAGCCGCGAGGCACATTCCCGCAGGTCCGCAGCCTACAACCACCAAATCCAATGTCTCGCTCCCCAAAGGTTGTAGCTGCACCAACCCAAGCCCATTCTCAGCTATCATACAACCGCAACAATTCACAATGCATTCGCTGCCAAAATTTACGAAACAACTCGCTCCACAATTGAGTTATACGATATAGTGAAAATCGTCTAACGCGAGGAAAAATAGATTAAGTGCAGACAGCAGTGCCTACATTCACAGACCAATAGCAAGAAAGTCATCCAATAAAACTTAAAAATCAAAATATTTTAAAAAAATATGCACCTTCTCGGCAATCTTCGGCTGCTCACAAGACTTGGAGGCCTGCAGCTGCACGAGGTCCAGCTCTTCTCCGCCAGCCTTGATGTAATCCTCCTCATCCTCAGACACTACATCGTGAATTTGAGTAGGAACAGAAGCAGCGAAGCACACTGTCGGACACTTCGCACATTGCTTCCCGACTCGCCCCGCCGGAACCGTCCAGCTGAGGCTACGACTCGCAGTTACATCATTTCCTCTACGCAGCGGCCAATGGCGACCGGGCCGCGCAGCACAGGAAGCAAAAGCCGCAGAGGAACTCCTCACAATATCAGGTACAAAAAACGACGAAGAAGAAGTAGAAGTAGAACCAGCAGCAGCGCAATGAAGATGCGGTAGAGCGCCTGCAACTGCAGCTCCCATCACGTGCAGACGGGAAAAGTGCGGGTCATGGGCAAGCCTCGCGTTCATTTAACAATGCACATGGCCAGAGAACAATGACTCCTGTTCCACGCCCTTCAATCTCACTGAACTTGGCTGAATTTCTCTACTGCAACGAGAACGCTGGTTAAGGTTAAGAAGCACACGGCACACGAGGTCGAGGACGAGGACTAGCAGGGCAAACTGCAAGGACGGTGTCGGGGGGGGAGAGCAAAGCAAAGCAAGCTAGCAATGGTGCTGTAAAGCACAGATAGCCCTGACGCACACTGCGAAGCACGGCCCCGCGCTCACGATAATCCTTGAGAGCCAGTGAGATGATGAGGGGCTGGATCATGGTGGGCCCATGACCGTACCGTGCATCCAACTCGTCCTGTTACCGGGGCTAATGGATGAATGAATGAAGACCCCTTGACGATGTTCTCATCAATCATCGCGGGACATCGCAATCGGTAGAATCTGGAAGCAGCGCCAATTTCATCCGCGAATATTCTTTAGTTTTCACTTTAAAGCTTGCTTTTGCAATTGGGGTGAGGACAAGCAAACTTGAGTACAACTAATATTCCTAATTCAACACTACTTCGTTAAGTTAACAAAATTTCGCACTTCAAATCCAGAGTTTCCTCACTCTTCAATAAAAAAACGGTCCATACTTAGAAAATGACTTTTGAACTTCCATAATGCCATTCGTTTTCATTTTTTTGTCATTTTGGATTAAATTAGAGCAATTAAAGCATTGTCTTTGCTCAAATAATATCACAAAAAAGACATGTAGTGTAAGTACATTCAAATGTCAATATAACAAGATACATTGAGAGGTTGGTTTTAAAACAAGTTTAGCATCTATATTATGTCATAAAATTGGATATTAGAAAAAAATAAAAATAAAAAAATAAAAAAAATCATGTAAGTTTTAAATGTTTAATTAAGAATATCATGCTATATATAATTTTATTTTTCAAAAAAAATCATTGTTTGACATTGAAATATATGTATATATACACCAAACTACTATGTGCATAAAACAAAAAAGCCAAAGTAAAAAAATACAATATAATAAAGTATTAGTATTTTCGAAAAAATTAACTTTTTGTGATTGGGATTAAAAACATCAATAAATTTGGTGCAACTACTTTAATTGTTCTAATAGTTTGAGGTGCTTTTAAATTTTAAATGAATGTTATGATGAAATAAAAAAATATAAGTAAAATAAAAAATAGTAAATTTTAATCATTATAAATTTTGCATTATTATTATTACAAGTAAATAAATGATTTTCCAGAACACAATTTCTTCATAAACTTGTATCAACCATATAATTGAATGTTCTAAATACAAATGAATGATTTTATGCAAAAACAAAGGATAAAAATAGAAAGAAATAAGAACAAATAAGTTATAAAAAAATTATTAATAATATTTGTGCTGTATTCAAGATAAGAAACTTTTTGAAAACCTACAAGTTCTTCTTAGATAGACTGCAAAACAAATAATAGAAACACTGCACAAATAAACTTGTTGATAGAATTAATATGCAGATGCAAAACCAATATATATTATAAAAGTCAAGAGAGGTTTCAGAAAGATTTAAAGTTTTATATTTGAATAAAACATGCTCATTGTTTAGTTTATATTTGATTAAAACTATAAATAATTTTAATGTTTCTACAGGATTGAATGTCTATTAGAAACATACACTTAGCATTTTGGATCTAAACATTTTTAAAATTATCTATATATATATATATATATATATATATATGTGTGTGTGTGTGTGTGTATAAATGCAATAGTGAGATTTAACATTAAATTTTACTAACCACTAAAAAATAATTAAATTCATAGAAATATGTTTCTTCTTTCTTCTGTTTTAGATTTTCAAAAGTACTTAAGAACCTTGTGCAATAATACAAACATTTCTAATAAAATAATACTTCAACAATTCTTGTAATTCAATACACTAACTGAAAATAAAATATAAATTAAAATCTAAAACTATAAAATACTTGCGATTTTCTAAAAATCATGAACCAACTGTTATAAAATGTATTTGTGTAAATAAAATAAACTAAGGAGGTCTTCCCTAATTAATTAACCTGTAAGACTTTCAAATGAAATTTTCTAAACCAAAAATGTTTTAAAAGAAATCTAAACTAAAATTACTTTTCATATACTTTATACAGTGTTTAAAAAGAAAAATTAAAAAAAAATCAAGTGCACACATATTAAAAAATAAAACAAACAATCCAAACACATGTTTAAAGGAACAAATGTAGATTTTGGAATGTCACAGAAAAAATATGCACAAATGAGTATTTGTTTTAAAAAAATTCTTCCTTATTTCTAGAATTGAAACTCAATTTAATTTCAATATAAAAAAAATTTTACTATAATAAAAATTAAAATTAATTAAATAATTATATATATAAATATATATACACATTTTAAAAATAAATTGGTGAATTTTAAAGATAAAAAATATGATTTAAAACAAAGTTACTTAAATTATATATATATGTATATATAAATTAAATTATATATATATATATGTATATATATATATATATATATATATATTAGTAGTTATTATAAATGAAGAAATATTATAATTAAAAGAGCAGATATTTATTAAGTCTACCAAAATTGTAAAAAATATACTTTAAGTTGAAAAATTAATAAATTTAAATAATCTAAAGATATTACATTGAATTAAATAAAAAATAAATAAAAATATTATTATATTTTATAATTTTTTAATATCAAATTCATATTTGTAAAAAATGTGGTATTAAAAAATTATAATATATAATATTTAAATTTAATAGAATCTTGATTATATATATATATATATATATATATATATAGCAAAAAAATAAAATAAAACATTATATTTATTTAGTATAAAATATCTATTATAAATTAGTTTATTTTAATTATTTTAATTTCATTTACTTAAATTTAAAATATTAACAATTCACATTATCAATATAAACATACAACATCACAACTACTTCCACAAGGTGAATTCATAATGAATTCTTGTTGGTAGTGCTTAAATTATCTATTTTACCATTAAAACTTTTAATAATATTAGTATAAATTTATTACTATTAAGAACTTTCAAGTAACATTGAGGTGTAATTTAGACGATTAAAAGCAAAATAGCTTTGGTTTGAATGCACACAAAATTGGTGTGCCTCATTAATTGTATACAATAGGGCAGGGATCAAAAAAAAATTATGCCTTTTGGATGGTCAAAATATGCAATGTGTCACGGCCATAATCATGTAAGCTAATAATTACATATAGAAATAGGTAGAAGTAAGTAAAAATAGATAAAAGTAAGTTAATTCTATAATATTTAATATAGAAACTTCCTAGACGCTGCTTTGACTTCATAGGTGTCTTTAATTGACTTTTTGGATTAGAAACGTGGTCAACAAGTTGGCCATGTGCCACACATGTTGTTAGCTTGAAGATCAAGCTAACTATGTGGCCCACACGTAGAAAAACTTGCCTTGTAAGTCAAGGCATGTGTCCTACAAAGTCAACACATATTGGAGGTCCTATAGAACGTCGCCACGTAGCCCCTAGTTAGATAGTATATATAGAGACAAGAGTGAAGGCTTCTTCACTCTTGTCAACTCCTTTCTTGCTTCTAGTCTAGTTTCAAGGGTCTCTAGTTTTCTTGTCTTTTGGCAATAGCCATTCTAGTTTCTCTTTTCAATATACATACTTATTATTCATATTTTGTTACTTTTCTTTGAGTGAAGGCTTACTTGTCTGAACTGTTTTTTCATCGACTTCTTGTCCTTGACAGATTGACAAGAGTGTACTTACAATATCAGAGCTTTATTTTTCTTAAGTAAGAGTGGATTACTCCTTTCTCTTCACAAGGCATAAGCATATTAGAAGTTTGCGGATTACCCACTTCTAAACTGATATTGTTCTTAGTATCTTCTTTGTTATCAAGTCTTTCTTTTCTTTTGTCTTGAGCAGTATCAAACAAATTTTTCTTCTTAGTGTCATTATGGCAGAGCTTGTTGAAATAAAGAGTGCAATGGCACAAATGCAAGAACAAATGAGGGAGTTGATACTTGCGATGCATCAACTCAATTCACCAACACAAGAAAGAACAAGAATAGCAGAAAGTGGGGATATAGAGATGATCGGAGCTGCTTCAACATCTACAACAAATCACGTTCCTTCTCCAATTGTACAACACCCTATAAACACTAGAGAACCAAGAATTGCCTTATCCGAGAAATTTGATGGTACGAGATCAAAGTTTCGAGGGTTCATCAATCAAGTATAATTAGCAATTGAACTTCAATCGCAAAGCCATCCAACTCCAAGATCACAAGTCAGGTTTATTGGCACTCTACTTTCTGGTTCTGCATTATCGTGGTTTTTGTCTTTTCTAGAAAAACGAAATCCAATATTGGATAATTTGGAAGCTTTTTTGGCGGAATTTCGATCTATGTATGGTGAACACGACGCGACTCGTGTTACAACAAATAAGATCCGAATTCTACGACAAGGAAATCACTCAGTAACAATGTATGCTTCACAATTTCGACAACTTGCAATTGACATCAAGTGGGATGATGCTGCACTCATCACTCAATTTCTTTATGGATTGCAATACGAAGTAAAGAAATTGATGCTCAACTTACTTGATCCTCAAACTTTGAGTCAAGCAATCGATTTTACGGTAAAATGTGATAATCGACTTTTCGAATTTCGATCCGAGAATCATTCACGGGAACCTCAACGTTATTACTCAATGACAACATCAACATCTTTACCAAATGTACATTCGGAAGTAGGAGACATGTAAATTGACGCGATACGTTTTAAACCCCTAACTGAGCAAGAAAAGATTCGTCGTCGTCAAGAAGGATTATGTTTATATTGCGGAGAACCTAAGCACACTGCTCAACATTGTCCAAAGAAACGACGCAACTATAAAATGAGGGGTACGACGGTCAAAGAAGACAACATGTCAAAAAACAGATTTGTCATACTACAATAGAGACCGTGCAGCTGGAACCTTGTACAATTCCTAATGAAGGTCCTATCCTCTCCTCAGAACCCTCTCCTTGTTTTATAATAGACTTATATTTAGGACCTAAGAATTACAAAGCCTCTGCTTTATAAGATTCGGGAGCCTCAGCATGCTTTTTAGATGAACAATTTGTTAAAAGTCGTAAAATACCCTTTGTACAGAAACCTAAACCAATACATGTAGAAGTCATAGATGGTCGTCCCTTGTCTTCTG